GACTGGTAATTTGTTGACCTATCTTCTAGTACACTTTGCAGAATTCACTCGCCGATCTGTGTTTTATAGTTACTGTAATCTTAATTTAAGCTTTGTGAGCTGCATATTACAAATGTTATCTAGGTATGATCCTACGTATGCTCGTAGAATTTCACTGAATTCAATCTTGTTCTTCTAACTTTTACTTGTTCTGTATTATGAAAAACGTCAAACTACTCTGTTTTGATCACTAGTCTGACAGAGATATGCTCGTCACTATTATCACTTACCATAGTTTATTGATGATGAATAGTGTGATTGTCTTTTTATAAATAAAAGTTTTAAAATGCAACTTTTTCATGTCTTTTTCATTAGATAAATCTCATAGTCAGTACTGATGTATTTGCGTAGAATGCTTTATTACATATCACAACTCCGTGTTCTTTAGCTCACTGCAGTGGGATGGGAATTCTTTATACCCTATCCAACTAAAGAGCTATCAAACCACTCTAGTATGGTATGGAGGACGTATACAAATAAAAGTCAGTCATCTACAACGTAGGACCACAGTCAATCAATGCTTCGTTATTTATTGCGTTTTTTAAACATACTTCACAAAAGATATTATTACCAAGATTTGATGTGATAATTTCGAATAAATTGAGCATTAGGTAGGTTGTTATAAATAAATAATATATTTGTAATATCCCAATGAGTAGAAAAATCAGATTTTCTGACGTTTCGTAACATAGCGTAAGTCACTTCTTCAGAGAATAAATAACCAAATCAAAATTAATCCAAGTTAAAATAGTACAACGGAACAATAAGAATAATGTATGGTCAACCAAAAACAGGTCTGACTATGTTTTGATCACATATTACCCTTTTTGTTCCGTTGTACTATTTAAACTTGGATTAATTTTGATTTGGCTATTAATTCTCTGAAGAAGTTGCTTACACTAAGTCACGAAACGTCAGAAAATCTGATTTTTCTACTCATTGGGATATTACAAATATATTATTTATTTAAAACCACAATAATATGTGGAAATCCTCATCTATGTATTTATCGCGGCTGCAGTTTTGAGCGCCATACAGAGAAGGCAATCAGTTTACTGGTCCTTAGGTCTCATGTTCTTAGAGTATCAGACAACTACAACGTATGACCAGGCACATACATGCATCGGTCCAAGTTACCATTAGCACAATAAGATCAACACCGGATTCATAGAAGTAGTCACTTCAATGGTGGTAATATTTAAAAAGAAAGATTACATATAAGTAGATAGTACAGGAAGAAAGAATTAGTTCGTAGAAAGAAAGATATAAAGCAATTTTAATCTCACGATTTAAGAGAAGACAAAGAGTGTAAACACTAACGTCATTGTGGTCGATCCTGAGCCATGTGATCTATAGTTTTCAACCATTGGTTATGATAGTCACGCGGACTACAACCAAGTAGTCTGCATCTACGAACCTGGCTAAGACTAGAAGTTAATGACTGCAATGACTGGTGCTTAGTTTTGGTTTGACCGCCCCTAACTTTTTTCCAACCGAATAAAACACTAACCGGCATTGTGTGCCGTTGGTTGTGCATTTGTAGTACGTAGCCCATCCATCTCAGTCTATGAAGTTTCACCAACTGGTTTACCATCATTCCCTAAAACATGTGTCAAATCACACCATTACTTTCCTCGGTGATCCCAGCAGATGCGAGCAATATAATAAGAATGTATAAGTGCTATGGTTAGTACGAATTTCACAGACTTTGTGAGCTCGTGGTAGGTTGTGTCAGTTGATATAAACATGGGGATGTAGATCTGCTTGACAGGCGTTTGTTTTCGATAGACTAATGTTTGTAAATGTAATCTGTGTTAACTAACGATGGGTTACTCGTTTACCGTTTGTTTACTAATGACATGGTATATTTTCTGAAATAATTGATTTATGCACATAGAAATTAGATTCTGTATGTCATGTCGTCTTTCACTACAAAGCTTTGCGGACACGTTTTTTGTCTGATGCCCTCCTATATCTATCGCGTACTTCTGAATAAATATTTACATCTTGTCCTCTGCTTAGGTAGAGTATTCCACATGATTATCTTCCCCAGACGTTTTGGTCGCTCGGATATAATTTATCATTACACTGGTAGAAGTATATCAGATCGGAAAAGCACACAACACAGAGTATTTATCTACGTTGTCTACATAACTATGCCTTATTTCACCAAACGTAGTGTGTTGCATTCAGTAACATGGAAAAATTACACAAAAGAATATGCACTATGAACTCCCCATTCGGAATGGTTAACAGAGTTTAATGTATGGAATATCGTGAGACTTATTTTTAGAACGCATTAAAAAGGAATCAATCCAAGTTCGTCATTTTAAGTAGCTCAAACTTTTAATGAGATGTGACAGGTGACTCGATGTATATTTAAACAAGGTAAGCTTAATCCATCTTGATATGGAAAACGATGGTTGAAATCATATATCTGAATCTTATAGGGTTCATTTTATATCCATCACGTACATATGATCCATACGAAATGATATTTGACGAGTATTTTCTGCAATCAACTAAGACTTTCATGGCATCGTTCTGAACTATTAGGTTGTACCTGTTCAATATTGTTAGTATGTAAGGACTGGATATCCAAACGATTTCAGGTTATGTAATACACTTTGAATTTGTGGAGCACGTTTTCTTTGTTCTGGAGGTAGCAGAAATATGTTAAATGAACAAATTTCCTCTCGACTGCAAACTTACTTTCAGGATCGAATGTTTAAAACCTTTGTGAAGATGCACATGCATTTTGCAGAGTTTTGACGTAAGTAGTTTCAAAATAATTAATTCTTAGACCGCTCCTCTTTCTGGTTTTTGTCGGGGACCTTGTACATATATTTAGTTCAAGAATTCTAGAAGGCTCAGCAATTCACCTAAAATTGTGGGCGGAAAATGGTGAACGTTCATAGAGACTAACAAGAAGACATAATGACTAATATTCAATCACTGATTCTTGAACTCACTCATTTACTTTGGTGCGTGTATCAGCTAATGAGTCTTTATTACTTGATGACTGCCAGGTTTCGAATTCAAAACACAATACGCTCGTTTGTTCTCACATAGTTCTGACTCACTTAAATTGAGTTTTTTCGAAGATTCCCATTTCGTAAGGCAGTTCAAATACTTTTGCTTATCACACTAGTGTCGTTATGGAGCCTGTGATGAAACGATTGAACGTGCATTCAAATTCTGGAGCATTTGAAGATTATATAGAAAGGTTCGAAGTCTGGACTATGATCGAGGAAGATGTAGAGGATGTTAATAATAGGGCTCGTTTCCTTACATTCGTCGGAAAAGAAGAGTATATTTCATCTCCTTAGGCAACTTTCAATGAATTACTACTAGACCATGTAAAGTGTAAAATTTCGAATGCTTAAAGGTTTTGAATATGATAAAAGTGGATACATTCAATCAGTTTGTAATACCACTGTTCGTTTCGCTGCAAGTAGTGCTGAGCTTTGTAATTCCGATCCTATTAGGTTGATCATTTATCTTTACCTATGATTTCGAAAAGCAGTATAGAGTCATATGGCAGTCCAGAAACAAATGGAAGTCAGGATCACTGTGAGACAAAAGTTTCTAGTCGGTCAACTTCTTATCGAATTTTTCATGTTACAGTATCAAATATGGTTTGTCCTAATAATTCACATATTTCTGATGAAATTTTTTATAAGTGTGATGGAAATATATTGAACGAATGAACCTAGATGACTTGTAGTAACCCGATCCAACTATTGTATTATTTGTCTACTTGCTGTAGTTTAAACGTGCTGAATTTTGAATTAAATCTGGTGATCGTGAAGTAATCAGTAGGGATACGTGTGAGACGCACTATATGAGGCCTTTCAATTGATAGGGATTCTCATGATTGTCGCCTAATAAACTATGGGCTCAAATAAACCATCAAGCTCTAAAGAAAAAAAATATATGATTAACAATACAATAGAGTCAAAAGTATCGGATTGACATGAGAACGAGCTAGAGAAGACTGACGTGTAGAAACAGGACCAGAAATATAGGAAAAAAAGTTACGTTGATATTTATAGACCAAGGAAACAAGCTATGGTAATAGTCGAAGCTTACGAAGAGTGAGTTTCCACTCTGTTAATGATTTCGTAAATCTTATTTATTTTAAAATAGGAAGTTATGGATTTTGACAACAATCTCGCTAATTATTTTTCTTAATATATTTCGGGAGATGTATCGGCAATGAAATATTCGGACTCAGTGAAAGGCTGAATCAGCGATGCAACGGAAAAATTACACTAGTTATTTCTATCTTGTCAGTATTAGGAATAGGTCACCAGAAAGCACTGGAAATTTTAATTAAAGGATTTTGCGCGAAACGGAAGCTGGCCTAGATATTTATTGACAAACCTTCATGTTAAAGTATACTGAATAGGCACATTGTTCGTTGCAGCGAGACTGTGTGAAAATAGCTAATAGAATTAGTAGAAGTGATCAAAAACTTATGTTTAGGGACCTTAGATTGTTTTTGATGAAGTATTCTTATGCGGTCAACACTGGGCATTGGCCAATCCTCAGTAACCATTTGTTATGTCGTGACAATATGGGTTATTCTTTCATAAAAGAAGTTTCATGCGTAATATAACATAGTTGGAATATCATGTGGTAGTACTTCTAAGGATGAAGTCACCTGATATAGGAAGTCTGGTTATTTCAGACCGGCGTTTTATATGTAAAATTTACTTTTAACTTGGATGATATCTTAATAATGACTTGACGTCATAAATGCATCTAGCCATATGTAACTGACGAACTTAGACTATTTAAGTTGAATGACTTAAGTACTACATTTTGGGTGCCGACATAGACCTAGAACGTCATCAAAATATTGATAGGAGAGCGTTAGGATTTTATTTGAGTTGCACCAGCTCATCCGAAGGATATTGAATAGTATCTATTGGAACTATTTAAGTAGGCTTGAGAGTACTTTTAAACATGAGCGGTACATCAGCTGGAGTTAAGACCAAAGTAATTAAGTACAGATATGTATAAATTCAATACTTATAGTCTTATCTACCAAACTCTCTTAATTTTCAAGATCGTGAGATATACAAGATTGGTTTCACAGCTTTAGATTGTATGCGAAGAGACGGAAAACTATGCGACGTCACGTTGATTGTGAGTTGTAACAGTTATTTGTTTGATTATTAGGCGGATAATAATCGCTTCACTGCACACAAGATTGTATTAGCCGCCACTATACCTTTCTTCAATGGAATGTTTCTGAGTAACATGGCAGAATCTACTAAAAGCGAGGTCACCATTCACGGAGTTGACGCTTGGTAAATTATTTATTTCTTATTAGTATCCAGTGCTTTAGAGGCGTTCATTGGTTATGCTTATACTGGCTTAGTTCAAATCAATCCTCGTAATGTTCAATCAATTTTAATCGGTGCCAATTTTTTACAGCTGAATAATGTTCGTAACATCTGTTGCAGATATATCAGTGAAAGGTGAGTTTAATAGGGTGTAATCAATAAATATGAGAAAAGCAGTGTCTAAAACTTTGTCTTGCGATTGATAAGTATTTTATACTTCGGGCTTAGCCTTTTAGACTGTTCGACTAAACTACCAATTAGTGAATATGTGCACATTAATTTTTTCTCATGGGAGAAAATATTGCATGACATTTCGATAACTTTCTAAAGTTTATGTTGATTATTGAAGGTCGATTCTGAGAGTCGGAGAATTGACCGTTTTTCTTTGATATTTGTGTTAATTTAAAACACTTCTGCTGCAACCACTCTTCTTCCGATGTAGTCGGGATTTATGGTGGAAAATGTACAGTTTATCGATGTAAAGGAAAGCCAACAGGATCATTATTTTTGTCTCATTTCAAAGTTCTTAAATGGACAAAACAATATAAACGTTATTATAAGAAGATTTGTGAAAGAATAATATAGTTATTCATTGGATGTGTGTATCACATCGGTGAAGTATTGTTAAACGTCATAATTGTGAAGGTTTGGTGAAAGTTAGGGCAGAAACTTATGATAAATGTACTGAACTAAACATAGTTGTCATGATACTACATTGTTGAATGATTTGCTAGCTCTAGTTTGTTCTCCAACTGGATGTTGTAAGTCCCCTAATTTGTTATTCAATCTCCCACTTGTCTATTTTGGCCTGTTTTTTTACTGTTATTATTCTTCTCTGTTACTTTGTTTACATTTTTCTGATGTCTTGTCTCTGTGCTAAAGTGGAGTATGTAGCTTGGATCAATAAATATTTATACCAGGTCTTAAGTCATGTTCGTTTGATTAACCAGTATATAATAGTAATGTCAAGGATTTTAAAGTGTACATCTTGCTTAGTAAAAGAGATTAGATTTTTGTTTTATTAATTATTATGGCGGTGTTTTTTGTCGATGCTTTTTATAGTAACCGCCCTCTAGGATTTCATAATTAAGATATTTCCGAACTAAATGCGTTTTATATCTTGAGACTTCCAGGGCTTGAAATTCTACCGGGAGATCCGCTTGTTGACTTAGAATATGCCGATGACATAGTTCTATTTAGTGAGGACGCTGACAAAATGCAGAGTCTGATGACCACTCTAAACAACAATGCAGGCATGTTCGGGATGCGATTTTCTCCCTCGAAATGCAAAATGTTGCATCAGGATTGGGGTGCATCGACACCCGAACTAGTGATAGGGAGTGAAGTAGTTGAGCGTGTCGACCGCTTCACTTATCTGGGAAGTCTCATCAGCCCTTGTGGTCTGGTGTGTGACGAAATCTCAACACGGATACAAAAGGCTCGACTAGCTTTTGCCAACTTGCGTCATTTGTGGTGTAGGCGAGATATCCGTCTATCAACCAAAGGACGAGTTTACTGAGCAGCAGTTCGTTCCGTCCTGCTTTATGGCAGTGAAACATGGCCAGTAAGAGTCGAGGATATTCGTATGCTACTAGTATTTGATCATAGGTGTCTTCGAAACATTGCTCGTATATCCTGCGACCACCGGGTAAGTAATGCAATTGTTAGGAAACTGGTACTAGGTAAGGATGGCAAATCAATTGATGAAGTAGTGAAACTTAATCAGCTGAGATGGCTGGGACATGTGTTACGTATACCCGACCACTGACTGCCCCGACGTGCCATGTCTTATGGTGTAGGAGTAAGTTGGAAGAAAGCTAGGGGCGGCCAGACCAAAACATGGCACAAATCCATGAAGTCACTGACAAGTGGACTGAGTCATGTTGGTAGGTGTAGACTACCTGGTTGGGGTCCGCAAGATGATAGCAACCGATGGTTAGAGACCTTGAATGACATGGCTCAAAATCGTTTGCAATGGCAAAGGTGCATCCACTCTTTGGGTTATCCCAAATTCTAATCTCCTGAATTCTTCATGTCCTTTATTTTCTTTCCAAATTCATTCCACTGGACTATACTCCTAAATAACATCATCAGTCAGTCAGCTGCAACGTAGGACCAGGCACGTATATGCATCGGTCCAAGTTGCCATACCGCATTAGCACAACAAGATGAACACCGGATTCATAGGAGTAGTTAATTCAGTGGTGGTAATATATAGAAGAAAGATTGTGTATAAGGAGATAGTACAGGAAGAAAGAATTAGTTCCTAGACAGATATGAAGCGATTTTAATCTCTTAATTTAAGGAAGACAGAGAGTGTATACACCGACGCCATTGTGATCGATTCTGAGCCATGTCACCAAGAGTCTCCAACCATTGGTTACGATAGTCACGCGGACCCCAACCAGGCAGTCTGAATCTACCAACATGGCTCAGACCAGAAGTTAGTGACTTCAAGCACTGATCCCACGTTTTGGTTTGGCCACCCCTAACTTTCTTCCAATTATCCCCTGCACTAGTCATCATTGCGCGTCGTGGTAATCGGTGTTCAGGCATACGCAACACGTGGCCCAACCATCTCAGTCGATGGAGATTCATAACCTCATCAACTGATTTACCATCATTCCCTAATACCCTGCGTCTAACCTCACTATTACTTACCCGGTGATCCCAGCAGATACCAGCAATATTTCTAAGGCACCTGTTGTCAAATACTAGTAACTTACGAATATCTTCCACTCTTAAAGGCCATGTTTCGCAGCCGTATAGAAGGACGGAACGAACTGCCGCGCAGTATACTCGTCCCTTAATTGATAGACGGATATCTCGCCTTCGCCATATATGACGTAAGTTGGCAAAGGCCAAGCGAGCTTTTCGAATCCGTGCTGAGATTTCATCAGACACCAACCCATTAGGGCTGATCAGACTTCCAAGATAAGTGAAGTTGTCAACGCATTCGACTACTTCACCCCCTATCCTTAGTTCAGGTGTTGATGCAGACCAGTCCTGAAGCAACAACTTGCATTTAGAGGGAGAAAAGCGCATCCCAAACATTCTAGCATTGTTGCTCAGTGCTACCAAAAGACTCTGCATTTTATCAGCGTCTTCACCAAACAGGACTATGTCATCTGCGTATTCTAAGTCAATAAGTGGACCTCCTGGTAGGAGATCAATACCCGAGAAGTCAGTCGATGAGAGCGTTATTTCCATCAGGATGTCTATGATAAAGTTAAACAAAAATGGAGAAAGTGGGCAGCCTTGACGGACGCCACTTGAGGTTGCAAAAGCAGATGACAGTTTGCCATAGGCTCTGACCCGACTAGTAGTGTTCGAGTAAAGAGCCTTCACAAGGTTTATGTACTTCTGAGGTACGCCTTTCAATGACAGACACTGCCACAGAACCTCTCGGTCAACAGAGTCAAACGCTGCTTTTAAGTCAAGGAATACCACCATTGTCGGACGCCGATAAGTATGCTTGTGTTCTAGAACCTGACGAATGGTGAATATGTGATCGATGCAGCCACGACCAGGTCTGAAGCCAGCCTGATTTTCACGTGTTTGCAGTTCACGAGTCTTAGTTAGGCGTCCGAAAATTATCGAAGCTAGTATTTTAGATACTATATTAGTCAAACTAATCCCTCTGTGGTTGTCACAGGATGATTTTGACCCTTTCTTAAATATTGGGACGATAAGTGATTGTGACCAGTTAGATGGAATAACGTCTAACTCCCAGATTTTAGCTAAAATATTAGTCAACCTAATCGCTAAGACAAGACCACCATCCTTAAAGACCTCTGGGGCCAATCCATCTGGACCAGTTGCCCTTCCTCGTTTCAGATTAGCTATAGCCTTTTGAACTTCAGCTAGAGTTGGGGGACCTACTTCAATGTTCCATTCACACTGTCTGGGAATAGAGGGTAGTTGTAGAGTAAAATAACATCATCAAACCTTAATGTTCCCTATCACTACTTATACTTTCACTACCTCTACCACTACGGGATTTGAATCGATAACTGAGTCTCTGTGCTAATGTGGTATGGCAACTCGAACTGATGTACGTACGTACGAAGTTCCACGTTGTTACTGACTGACTGACTGACTGATATCTTGAGACCACTAATTCACAGTGGTTTTTGTACGCTTTTGCGTCGTATGTTATTAGAAGAAAGGGTTTCTGCCTTCGGTCTGATGTAACTTTTAATACGCTGACTTCTTGTGCTCTTTTTTACAGAGTTCAGTGATGTTGTTTAAATGTTTTTCTTTTCACAGATTGACTGTCGACATAGTCTTACCGATAAGAAATCTCGCTCAAAGCTATTTATGCACAGACTTGGTATCTGCTTGTGAGGCATATATCTACAAAAATTTCGAAGACATCGCACGCACAACTTCATTTTTTAATCTTGAAGGATGTGAATTGATGGAATTACTGGAGTCAGATGAACTGAATGTCAGCAGTGAAGAACGCTTGTTTCATATAATTATGTCTTGGGTTGAATTTGAAGCAAAATCCAATCCTGATACTGAAACGAATTCTGTTATATCAGAGTCTGTTAACGTAATTGAGCTACCTGAAAATTATGATAGTAATGTGTATTCGATAAAACCATCTGTTTCAAGTGAGATTGGTCATCAAAATTTGTGTTGTAATGGTTCTTTACATTCTACACATCATTCCCATAGTTGTCATTGTTCTACACAAATATTCAATAGCAAACCACGCACTGACTTTCTTCCATGCCTTCTTAGGCGAATCAGACTACCTCTAATTCCAGTTAGCTACATTTTTTCAGTTATTTCGCGGCATGAACTTATTCGAAAGGACATTCGTTGTAGGTAAGTTATTCTATAGACAAGAACGTTTCAAATAATAATAAAAACTTAGATCAAGTAGTTACATTAATGGTCGTGTGTTTACGACTTGATTCTTAATTCCTTTCTAAAAACTAAAAATACTAAGCTACCTAAATTTTATTATCTGGAATCGCATTTAAGCATATGAGACTTGGTTGATGAATATTGGGTGGTTAATCCACTACTTCGCTTCAGCTTGAATACATCGGATATTTGCTGGAAAATTCCTTCGATTTGTATGTTCATGTGTTTATTTCCAATGAATTGTAAACTAGTTACTTAAAAATACCAAAAGCCTAACGGCTTTAAGCTCTGGATAAGAAACTGGTGCGTAATTGTAATAGCGTCGATACTTTGAATCTCAGATATTTGAAGTTAATTGAGGTTCCATATTCCTAAAATCATAAAGTTGTGAGTCTTCATAGACCTTGATATTTAGGACATACATTTTACATGCCTAGCCACCACTTACTACTATATCGTGTCCTAACCAGTACTCAAGTAATCAAAAAAAGCGAATAGTGGCCAGACCGAGATATTTCATCTGGTTTTAAAGTTACTGACTTTTAAACCAATCCACTTTTGGAGGTGCAAGCTTCTTACTTGAAGATTGAATGTGTTTTGGGAGCTTTTAGCGAGTGATAAGACTAAATTTAATATTATTAAAGTAAGCGTATTGAGTACTAATCCACAGATAAATTACGATATGGTATGGTCGAATGGTGGCTGCTCACGATTCTGTACTATTGATCCAAGCCTACGGAATGATTAGAAATCAAAAACAGAATCACTGGCTGGAAGATTGGGTTTCCAAAGGGATGAAGTAACATGTTTATGTACAGAATACGAACACAAAATAAACATGATAAAATGTTATAGGTGATCGAATGAAGTCAACTTTTAGGTCATTAATTCTCCAGTCAAGTAAGACCTGACTGTTAGAATAGATCTGCGGCCATCATATAACGTGATAGTTACAACTAATGGTTGGAGACATTCGATGACTTAAGTCAAAATCAGTCGTAGAGACACCGATACTCATTTTCTTGTGAATGACATTATTAAAAACCATATAGTCCTTTACATTGTTTGTTCGTTTTGAATTATATATTGATTTGTTTTTCTCTATATCTTTACTGCTCGTATCTCTCCAACTCCGCTGTTTATCTTTTTTAATTGTTGCCGTTTCAACGGTAAATATATCAACTTGTGCCTGTGTACATCTGTCTCCAGATATAGTGTTCAAGACTGACCACCAATATCTTATGAAACTCCATTTAAACAGTAAAAATAACTGATTCAGTTTAGATATTTCTGAACACTAGTTTCAATCAGGTTTTGTCTTTTCTACACTAATGACAATTTTTTTCTTATTTAGACTTTTTTAAACTTGACTTTTGTAGAGATATTCTAGATGAAGTACGTGATGTACTTCTTATGTCATGGAAGACGTCGGAATTCTTTAATTGTCGACCTAGAAGATGTCAAGATATTTTCGGTGTTATTTATGCTGTTGGAGGTTGGAATACAGATCTAGAATGTCATGGGATTGTAGAGATTTATCATCCCTCACTTGGTCGTTGGGAATTATCAGAAAGTATGATATCTAAGCGTAGTCGTATCGGTGTGGTTGCTTTGAATGGTAAGCTTAAATACCGAGCTTTTTATACTGAATAGTTAGCTAATAGAAATAAATCCTTGAACCTGAATTTCGACGTTATCACTGCAAATTATGTATCCATAATCTTGATGATTCTTATACTCTTTGTAACTTCAACCTTAGGTGTTCAACTTCAAATGTAGCATAAAAGCGTAACTTAAAAGCTTATTAGTTTATATAGCGAACTACAAGCCACAAGTTTTATGTGAAAATTTTCAGTCAAAGTATTTGTTATTGGAACACTGTGCGAAACTTTAGAATACTCATTGAAATTCAAGTCCTTCAACAGATAAACCACAGCCATATAATATCAACCTATCCGTTTACATTTAGTAAAAGTGATGCAATTTTGTTTGATTTTTATTTAATTATCAATACATCTAACAAATATTTGTGTGGTTAAAATATAATTGTCGCGATCTCTTCATATCTGTAATCTGAAGCATTTTAGGCTAAAAATCCTGAAAACATTTTAATTGGACAAGTAATCATAGCTATCAAATCTACATCTATAAAAGTGGTATATATTCAAAACTAAATTGTTTTTCATTCATGTTTAAGTCATTTGGTTCATAATATCGTCAGTCCCACCTACTCTAGTAGGAGTTTTCTGTTTTATTTATCTATTAAAATACTCGTCATTGTCTCTCCCTTAGCAATTTAACTGGTCTGTCAGTTTGAATACTTAAGAAATTAGTTGAAAGATTAAGTTTTTGAATGGTTAGATTTCAAATGTTAATGACATGATAATCATATGAGTGTAAAAATATAGGAAGCCATACCATTTGAGTTTTGAATTACTTAATTTTAGTTATTCATGTGTTGCAGTGGTTTCAGGCAATATCGAATAAATCTTGTAATTACAATAGAATTTGATGTATTAGTACCCCTTTTCAGTTAGACATGGTCCAGATGAAAAAAGAATTACGAACAGCTGTCGCTTTCCGGTTGCCAGCACCGCGAAAGGAAATTTCTTCTTGAGAATCTGTGTTGGAATCTGTAGGATGGAACAGCGGTTAGTGTAACGGCTGTTGAATTCATATGGGTAAACTATGCATTTCTCCAAATTTGTAAGTAAATAGTAATTCAGATCTGTCACTAATGTTTGAGTTCTTGAAGTGTCTAAATCAGTGATCTGCTACTCTTCCATAAAGCATTATATGAATTTTTTTAAGGATTATAATTAATCGGTTACTTTTAAAGAGTAATTATTGTCTTTTACTTATTTCTAGGACTATTATACGCTATTGGAGGTTTTGATGGAAATTCTCGCTTGCGTACAACTGAAGTATATAATCCAAAAACTGGAAAATGGGCAACCGTTGCTTCAATGATTTGTCGACGTAGTGCTGCAGGAGCTGCTGCTTATGATGGATGTCTGTATGTTTGCGGTGGTTTTGATGGTCAAACATCTTTACGTACATGTGAGATGTATATTCCAGAACAAGATACGTAAGCAATTTTAAAAAAAAGTTATATCTCAGGATTTAGACTTAAAAATTATAGGTATATTTGATCAAGTTAAAATAAGTAGATTATTCATGGTGTTCAAACTTTTTATCTATATTAAAGAGCTGTGAAGATTTGGCTAAATAGTTATGGTGTTCAACGTCCGGCCACTTCACCTATTTTAGTTTAGGCAACCGAACAGTATCAATAACGTTTAAACATTTTTTAAACTCGAACTCAAGTACATAAATCTATACCTAATAAATGAGTTGCTAAAACAATGCACAATTATCACTATGATGCAACAAACAACTTGGTTTTCCATAGTTCATCTCCAATGCACAAGAAGATATGGATCCTTATTTATACCTTGTTATCCGTTATCGATAAATCGTATCTATGATTTCCAAATATATGATTCCCCTGAGACTGACATTTGTGCTATTTTGCTTTGTGACTAAAAGAATATTAGTAGACTGGTTTTTACTGTAAACGACTTAGCCTAAAACAGGACCATGGAGATTAACTGTTTAGCATGCAAACTAATAATATAATAATCAATAATAATGGATATTTTTCGGTAGTACATTGAATATGTTCGATTTCGATTAGTAGGAGTCCTTACGAAACGAAACTTAGTATTTATCAGTAATTGTTAGGTTAGACATTCAGTTTTTTAGGAATTCAACCTTAGTAGCATTAAGTCCTTTAAAAATTCGAATTTATTTACTGTCCAGTGAATGCTTTGCATAAAATAGTCTCACTCATATTATGACGTTTTTTATTTGATTGGTTTATTTTCTTTAGATGGAAGTTAATATCAAGCTTAAATGAACCCAGATCAGCTGGTGGTCTTGTTGCTCTCAATGGTCGTCTTTATGCTATTGGTGGGCATAATGGTTTAGCTGTTTTTTCAACAGTAGAATGCTATGAAAAAAGTGATTTACCTAAAACACTCTTACCATCCTCTCGTTTTGAAACTGATCATCAGAATAATGGTATTCGGCAAAGTCCTACTAATGTATGGTATTCAGTAGCTAACATGTTACATCGACGATGTCGACATGGCGCAACTGCGTTTCGTGATCGTATAATTGTTGCCGGTGGTTATGATGGTGCTTCATTTCTACAAAGTGTTGAAATGTTCGATCCTACAACTGGTCCAGATCGTAATGGTTTACATGGACAATGGACTGAAATTTCATCTTTGTCAGTCCCTCGTTCTCGAGTTGGATTGGCTGTAACTGCAGGTTGTTTATATGCAATAGGTGAGTCATATTTTTTCTATGGCTTGAGTGTAGTACCATAGCTGGTGATACGTTGTTGCTGTTAATGATAACGTATGCAAATGTAAGCGACTTTTAGTTCATATGTGCTCCGATCTTGGATCTATGATTCAGTGGTTAGGCAGTTGACTTTTAGTCATCCGTTCGGAAGATTCAAACTCCTCTCCTTTTACATCATCATTCAAGTAGCAGTACCGCACTCTTAGTTATACTCAAAAGTGAGTGTGTATACCTGTATATGGTTATCAAGTTATTAGCTAATTAAGTTATTGGCTAACATCAATGATGATACACCATTGAAATAGTTTCTTTTTTGTGGCCAACGAATTACTGTTCGCTATTTTAATGCGGTGGATGTGTTTACAGTTGTAGAAAATTGTCTTCATATGGTAGAAATTGATTTACTTCATGGAATGTTACCCAGTCAGTCATGAGTCATAAACATAGAAGTAGGATTCGGGACCAATAGGGATAGATACGGGTTATTTAATTTCATATTAGAATATCGAGAAGAGAAATTAATGCAATGAAAATGGGAAGACCAAAGTAAAATATCAATTGTGGTGAAATAAGTGAATGTTAAAAAGTATATTTCAAAAGAAGCAAATGAAACCTAGGAATAAAGCAGTGTTTGGTATACGCAAAAGCTAGCAAAAGTAAATATTTTTCTAACTTCGTACTTTTTCTTTTCCAGTATATGAGGGAATTCGATAGCTCACATCATAAACTGACATCAATTAGACGATTTTTGGGAACTAGTAAATAATGGACGACTGTCTCATTCCAGTATGAAATGTTTCTGTAGTAAGCACCCGCAACCCCACCAAAGAAATAACCTAGGTCCTTCAGGTCTTGCTTCTGGATCTTAACATTTAGACTAGTGTGTCAGCATCTAATGGTTTACATGTCTTTGAATTCAGTCCCTGGTGAGCACACAAATGCTCACTGTTGTAGAATGCCATACTAGCTTACAACAACTATCCAGCTTTTATCGGTTCTCAATCATTGTATATTGTGTGCTTTACCTATTCAACTTTTTACTAATTAAATCATGACGATGTGTCTATTCAACAATTTGTTATTTATCTTATGAGCCACTATTTTATCTGGAATATTCTAGTAAAAGTCAATAAAATGGTTTCATTTTAATCAAAAGGCTTTTTTCTACTTAGGTGGTTATGATGGTAGTACTCATCTACGAACAGTTGAATGTTTCAAATCTCCTATTAAACAAAATCCCTCTGAATTATCAAATAATGTTTTGCAATCAAAATTTAATACATTATCTAATTTATTGAACAAACCTAAGATTTCTGATAATTGTAGCGATTATGTTGATGGTGATGATGACGATAATAATGACGATGGTGTTTCTTGTAATCATCATCCATGTTCTGTGCACTCTGATTTTGAGTCTATTTCTTCATGCAACTCAACTGAAGCGGTTACATTTGTTAGAACAACACAAAATGGGGTAAAAGTTGCTTATACTTTTTGTAAATACGATTTAGTTATTTGTTTTGTTGGAATTGTTGAAATCAATGCTTCGAGGTTTTCAATGGTGGTCTAACATTGATCGGTTCATGATTTAAATGAAACTCAGCAATCTCCACAAACCTATACAACTAGGCTACTAAGCTTTTTCTGGTGGAAATTTGGGAAAATCCAGAAAATGCATAACATGTTAAAGAATGTTCATCGTGATAACCTTAAAAAATTTTTCTTTCCAAGCAGGCCAAGGGTTTTAGTAAGGGACCTAAAGAATGCAAAGATAATGCGACTCAAGAACGAATCGTTGATGGAAAAAACACTGATTGTTTATGGCTCTCTGTGTTTTTGATCGCTGGATAGTTCTTTAACTAATGGATTTCGGAAAAATTGCATGTTCGCGCAAACTTAGCAAGAAGGTCGGTCAGTCAGTCAGTCAGTCAGTCCGTAACAACGTAGAACTTCGTACGTACGTACGTACATCAGTTCAAGTTGCCATACCACGTTAGCACACAGATACAGTTGTCGATTCAAATCCAAAGTGGTAGAGGTAGTAAAAGTATAGGCAGTAATCGGAAACATTAGGGTTTGAAGATGTTATTGAAAGTGTATAATCCAGTCAAATAAATTTAGAAAGAGAAGAAAAATGGACATGAAGAATTCAGGAGATTAGAATTTGGGAGAACACAAAGAGTGGATGCACCTTTGCCATTGCAAACGATTTTGAGCCATGTCATTCAAGGTCTCTAACCATCGGTTGCTATCATCTCGCGGACCCCAACCAGGTAGTCTACACCTACCAACATGACTCAGTCCACTTGTCAGTGACTTCATGGATTTGTGCCATGTTTTGGTCTGGCCTAGCAAGAAGATAGAATGATGAAGCTTATGATTATGAGGACTTCAATGGTTGTTTTGTGGAGCAGTAACCGAGATGATGGGGAAACTTTATGAAAATGAGAAGTATTTCGAAGGGTATAAGATTAATATGTCTTTGATCGTGTAAAATGAAAATCTTTTTGACTTGAGTTAGCGTGCTTATTTGTTTGCGTTTTCAGGCTTGAAAGAAGCCATGCCTCATATAATGTCTTCAACTATTGGTTTGATTACTTAGTGGAACATAACCAGAAACTTTGTCTCAGAAAGACTCAATTCATTACTCAATAACTTGATAAACTATAGCCATATTATTCTATTTTTATGCTGACCAACATTACGTGATGCTTGTATACCACATATTTCAGCCATCATAGAGGTTTTATGACAGCGTTTTTCATTGAAAGGCGTACCAAATAAGTACATCAACCTTGCCCCCAGGCTCCGAGTTTCGCTCCTTAAAAAAACTACCTGCTTCGGTTCGGGCACACGGGCAGTATCACAGCCCTTAAACAAATCAAATGAAATTTGTGTGGCGCATATGTATCTGGTGCCCTTTTGTACCAGTATCTGTGTTCAAATAAATAATAATACTACCTGAACATTACTGATCAAGTTGGAGCTTATGGGGTAAATGTCATCAGAATTGACAACGTCAAATGGTGTTCGTCAGAGCGGTCCACCTTCTCCATTTTTATTCACCTTCGTTATCGAAACTTTTAAAGATAACTCTCTCGTCGTCTGACTTTCCAATGGTTCATCTATTTGGAAATCTATTTGTTAACGTGACATAGTCCTATTTGATGGAGATGCTTACATAATGTGGTCTTTTGACCACCTTAAGGGACAATGCAATCGTCTTTGATATGCGATCCTCTCCTTTCAGATGCGAAATTTTGTCTCAGGACTAGTTTGCATCAACCTCTGAATTGATAATAGAGGGTAAAGTAGTGGAGCATGTCGACCGATTCACTTACCATAGGAGCTGTAGTGGTTAGTGCTATGTCGAGCACACATAGCTTATTCTAGCTTCTGGACAAACCAACTTATCCATCCTCATGAAGCTACTTTTTGACCTTGTTAATTATTCACCTGTTTTTATGTAAGCGTATCTGTGTGCATTTCCTATCTTACTCATCATATGACTGTAGCTTATTTTTTTCTGACTACAAAGATTGATAAACTCTTGATTAAATCGAGTTGGCTCACTTGCCTTCTCCAATCTGCTCCGCTCACTTTGATTGTTGGTTCAAATCAATGAGTTTAAAAAATATACGCATTCAAAAATCCATTCCCGTATTCGGTTTATTTAATTCCTTTATTTACTAACGCGAATTGAGTCAATATTTATATACGGGAACTGACAATATGTATATTTCGATAGCAATCATTCATACGAACTGGAGTTAGATTAAGTGCTATTAAAGAGTCTCATCAGTCCTGATGGTCTTCAACTTTGAAGAAGTCTCAGCACGGATTCAGAAGGTTAGATTGGCGTTTGCCAACTTGGATCAATTGCGGCGTATGCAGGATATTTATCAAGTCAAGAGTGAGTATACTATGCTGCAGTTCGCTCCCCTCTACTTTATGGCTGCGAAACGTGGCTTTAAAAATACAGAAAATTCACAGGTTGCCAGTATTCGATCATAGATACCTTGAAAACATTGCTCGTGTACGTTGGTACAATCGAGTTATTAATTCTGAGGTTAGATGCAGAATAATAGATAAGGGTGACAAATCGATTTATGAGTTAGCGAAAATTCACCAGCTAAGGTAGTTAGGAAATATGTCATGTATGCCCAAACAACGATCAACCCAACGGACGATGTTTGCTAGTGAAAATGATGTTCGAAAGTTAACAGTACTTGGGAAACCTTTGGCTTTATATCATGGCTCACATGTATATTAAAGCCACCATATGATCACTGTTAGCCCTGTATCTGACTCCAGTTATATCATGTGATGATCGTTATCTGAATATACATACATACTTACTTACTTACGCCTGTTACTCCCAATGGAGCATAGGCTGCCGACCAGCATTCTCCAACCCACTCTGTCCTGGGCCTTCTTTTCTAGTTCCATCCAATTCTTGTTCATTTTTTCTCATATCTATCTCCATTTCTCGGCCTAATGTATTCTTTGGTCTTCCTCTCCTCCTTCGGCCTTGAGGATTCCATGTGAGAGCTTGTCTTGTCGCGCAGTTCGGTGCTTTCCTCAATGTGTGTCCTATCCACTTCCAGCGCTTCTTCCTGATTTCCTCCTCCACTGGGATCTGATTTGTTCTCTCCCACAGTAGGTTGTTGCTAATAGTGTCCAGCCAGCGGATCTGAAGTATTTTGCGTAGACAACTGTTAATAAACACCTGTATCTTCTGGATGATGGATTTCGTAGTTTTCCAGGTTTCCGCCCCATACAGTAGAACTGTCTTGACATTTGTATTGAAAATTCTGACTTTGGTGTTGGTTGCCAATTGTTTTGAGTTGCAGATGTTCTTCAGTTGTAAATATGCTGCTCTTGCTTTGCCAATCCGTGCCTTCACATATGCATCAGATCCACCGTGTTCATCGATGATACTGCCCAAATATGTAAAGGTTTTTACATCTTCCAAAGCTTCTCCGTCAATTGTGATTGGATTGTTATATGCTGTGTTGTATCGGAGAATCTTGCTTTTCCCTTTGTGTATATTGAGACCTACTGCTGCTACACTGGTTGTCTTCTCCTGCATTTGTTGTTGCGTATGCGATAGAAGAGCCAGATCATCTGCGAAGTCTAGATCATCCAACTGCATCCTAACTGTCCACTGTATCCCGTGCTTCCCTTCAGATGTTGACGTCTTCATGATCCAGTCGATCACCAGGAGAAAGAGAAAGAGTGGGAGTAAGCAACCTTGCCTGACACCGGTCTTTACTACGAACGACTTTGTCAACTGTCCTCCATGAACGATTTTGCAGTTTAATCCATCGTAGGAATTCCGTATGATATAGACTATTTTCTGAGGCACGCCGTAGTGTCGAAGAAGCCTCCATAGGGTTGTTATGTTCTGCTTTTTCGTAGTAAATGAAGTTGATGAAGAGTGATGAATTCCATTCAATTGATTGTTCCACAATGATCCGTAGAGTTGCGATTTGGTCTGTGCACGATCTATACTTACGGAATCCTGCCTGTTGGTCTCGAAGTTGGGCGTCTACGGAGTCCTTCATCCTGTTTAACAATAGCCTGTTGAAGACTTTTCCTGGTATTGAAAGAAGAGTGATTCCCCTGTAGTTGTCATAGTTGCTGAGATCGCCTTTCTTTGGTATTTTGACTAGAAGTCCTTCTTTCCAGTCTTTTGGTACCTGTTCCTCATCCCAGATCTTTCTGAAGAGAATGTGGAGTATCGTTGAAGTTACCGCTACGCCTGCTTTCTGTGCCTCTGCTGGAATGTTGTCTGGTCCTGCTGCTTTGCCACTCTTGATTTGTCTGATAGCCATGCTGATTTCTTCAATTGTTGGTGGGCCAACATCGATTGGGGGGACCGTGAGTGCTGCTTCGATGTTGGGTGGGTTAAGTGGGGCTGGTCGATTCAAGAGTTCTTTAAAGTGTTCTACCCATCTGTTTCGTTGTTCTTCAATGTTGGTGATTATCTTGCCTTCCTTGCTTTTCACTGGTCGTTCTGGTTTACGGTGATTTCCAGAGAGTTTGTTTGTTGTGTCATACAGTTGTCTCATGTTTCCTTCTCTGACAGCCTTTTCCGCCGTCATTGCTAAATCTTCCACATATTTACGTTTATCAGTTCTGATGCTCCTCTTCACTTGTTTGTTTACTTCTGTGTATTCAGTTTGTGCCTTGGCTTTTTTTGCTCTTGTTCGGCTGGTATTGATTGCTGCCTTCTTGTTCCTCCTTTCTTGAATCTTATCCAGTGTATCAACAGTGATCCAATCCTTGTGGTGTTGCTTCTTTTGGCCCAGAACCTCATGACACGTTGAAGTGATTGCCTCTTTTATCTCTTTCCAATTGCTCTCCATAGTAGTTTCTTCCTCCATTGAGTATCCGGTGTTGTCAATTCCAACCTTGGCATTTAGGTCTCCCATCAGAATAGTCAGGTCCTTTGTTGGACACTTCTCGACGCTTGGCTGCAGCCTATCGTAGAATTGATCTTTAGCGTCTTCATTGTAGTCGTTGGTAGGCGCATAGCATTGGATGACGTTCATTGTAATCCCCGTTTTCTTTGTTTTGAAGGAGGCTTTGATGATCCTTGGTCCATGAGATTCCCATCCTATAAGTGCATTTTGTGCTTGTTTGGATAGCATCAATGCAACTCCTTGTGTATGTGGGACATTTTCTTGTTCGTGTCCGGAGTATAACAGCAGCTCCCCTGAAGCTAGTCGTTGTTGTCCAACTTGCATCCAATGTGTTTCACTGATCCCAAGCACCTCTAGGTTGTATCTCCTCATTTCTGCAGCAATTTGGAAAACTCTCCCAGTCTCCCACATTGTGCGAGCATTCCATGTACCTAAATAAATGGTTGCTCTAGTTGTCAGAAGGGGCATCGGCCTCGTGACTTCCGAAGGAACTCGGCTTTCATCATGAGGCGTCATAATTCTTCTAAACGAAGACCTCCTGACTCTCAGGGCAGAGTTTAAATGGTTTGAATAATTTTTTCTGGTTAGCGTTTTTTAGCGAGTTAGTTTTCTACGGGATGGGGTCGCTAACCCCATGCCCAACCCTCCACCTTTATCTGGGCTTGGGACCTGCAGTAGCCCCCCGAAAGGGACTCCAGGCGGAGTTCGGAATATACATGCCAGCTGTATAATTCTCGGTTCAGTTTGCGTTAGAGAATATCGGAACAAAATAAGTCAAATACGAGAGTGAGTTTTGAATATGAATATTCTGTACACTTATCGATCTGCACAGACAATCAGTTAAACGAAGTGAAGGGGATACAGCGAAGCGAGACAAAACGACACGCAGTGGAGAAGGCGAGTTAACTCGATATAACCAAGAGTGACTCAATATTTAGACCAAAAATAAGTTACAGACATGTAATTAATAGCGTAAGCAATTAACACACATACGATTACATAAAAAGCAGTCGGGATTAATAAGCGTATCGGTGACAAGGTCAAGATGTGGCTTGAGAAGAATAAATAGATTGGTCTGTCCAGAAGCTAGAATAACCTGTTTGGGCTTAAAATAGTACCAGCCACTACAAGTATTCGCCAGGTTCGAACACTTCTCCACCTACTTTTTTCAGCAACCGAATAGTATCATTAACTTTAAAACCTAGAGTTTAGCTCATCGTAACTAAGCACACCTGGGGAATGAATTCATAAAAAATGTCATTTCCATCTAACTGAGAGTGCCTTGTTGTTATTTTTTAAAATGTTTAACGTACCTATTTGTTTCCCATATGTTGTATCTTATCGCTTGCGAATTTTCTTTTACTCCCCCCTTCCAGAAAACTATGATGTTAGAAAAGCTAAAACCTAAGCCAATTAGTCATAAACCATCTATTCCATCCGCTTCAGTTAATATCAACTGTTATAGTCGTACTTCTACACTATCATCTGTCATCCCATCTTCTTCTAATCCTTTCGCTGATTGGCAATGGTCATCTGGACCTTCATTAATTGCACATGAGGGATGGGTTGGTATATGTGTCCTTCCTTTTGACCAGTCGTCTTCAGTCCATTAATTTCACATATTCGTAACATTATCATTAGTGTAGAAAACATAACTCTGTTTTGTTTTACAAATGTGTAAATTCGTTGTGTGTTTTTTCATTTTGGTGTAAAAAAAGATGTTTCACGTTCCATAACTGTTCTGTTGAAGTTAACATTTCAATTGTATACTGTATATACCTTATATATTCATCTATTTGTTATGCGTAGACACATCTGTACTGATAATACGTCGTTACATGTGACTGTGACTAATTGATATATTTCTGTTTAGTTTTTATAGATTATTTTCTGACATTAATTTATACTCATTTATATTCTCTAGCTTTCTTTCACGTGTATATGATTTCAGCTAAATATTTTATTATCTCTATGTAAATATCCTTATCGTATCTTTTTTTTTTTAGATTTTGCATTTCCCATTTTCTTTTTTTTTTTTGTTCTCTTTCACGATGGTTCAATTATGTGCATTTGTTTCTTACTATAATAATTGGATCTCCTTTTTTTAAACAATAAAAATAAAAATATCTGTATGATAACAATTGATTTTTAAGCAGAAATATCTGCAATTGGTTGAATATTAAAAGAAAAAAAAACGGTTGATAAAATTATATTGATTTTGCACAATCAAATTGATTTAAGTTTCCTCTAACTTCCTGATTTTTTGTTATTTTACATTGAGACCTGTTAGTCTTCTGGTTTTTTTTTTTGAAACTAGTTTAGCAACTAAAATATATTTCCAAAAATATGTAACGATTTTTGGTTTACGGTCAATATTTGTTGCCTGTTAGTTTTAATGAACTAAATTAGTTAGGTTAGAGTGAATATTTATGTTATATGAGATTTGTCTGTGCTAGACTGTATTATTCGTACATCAAATTCTATCTCTGTATAAATATACTGGTCTATCTAAACCAGTATTGTGTTGTCTTTTGGTTATGAATGATCAAATATTGCTGAATTATTAGGGTATGATAAAATTATAAGTCGATATTTACTGTGATGAAATATTTATGTCAGATGTTTCGATGCCTGTTATAGACATGGCGTTTCTCGGATATCATGAACTATACATCTATACACGTAAGGGTTTGTAGACAGTAAATATAACACGTCTCAAGGTCATATTAGCCTTAGTTTACTGATGAGAACTGGACTATATAAAATTAATTACTATTTATCATTTGACTAGTGTAAACATAATATGACTGATCAGTAATTGTTTGGTTTAAATAAGATATCTCTCTTAAATATAAAAATAAGAAATAAAAATGTACTGAACTTACTTAAGTATTGGTCTAGTACCGGATTTCGCTCCTAGTTCAGTTTTATTTGGCCGTGTAAAATTCATTCCTAGCAAGCCGTTTTTATCTTTAATTTTCAAGATCAATTTTGAATTCAAAGAATAATTCAATCCATCGTATGCAAGGATTACAAATCTCCTGACAATTACCAAAAGAAATCATGCTAAACAGTGACAAATAGCATGAATGTATGGTATATTTGTAATATTTTTGTTGTTAAGAATCGTGAATTATGCCACATGATGGTTGAACAGTTAAATTATTAGACTTTCAACCAGTATATGTCACGTTCTAATCTCTAACTTTCTATAAAATAAATATCTTCATAGCATGTTCAGCCAAAACACACCGAGAGTATCACTTATGGTCGAGGATATGGATATACATATGTTTTCTGAGTTTCCAAACAACAAATCATTGTCTGTAAGATATTATCAGATGTTCAATGTACTCCCTTTGCAAATTTATGTGTATTCAGCAAAATATCTGCTTCGGTTTGGGCACCCGGATAGTATCACCGCCCTCACACAAATAAAATGAGATTTGTGTGGCGCATATGTACTTGGTGCCTCCTTGTACCAATATCTATGTGTTCAAATAATAATAATAATAAGAATTCAACAAAATAGTTATAGGCTGCACAATATTCCCCAAAAAAAAACGCATACATAAAGCTACATGGGTCTCACCGTAACACACTACAGAAAACCAGATTGATCATATTTGTATCAGTTAAAAATTCAGAAGGTCAACCAGGAGAAGAGCTGACAAAGTTTCAGATTACCACCTACCTGGTGGTTGCCAAGAAGAAACTGAAACTTAAAAAGCAGTGGACAACTGGGCAAACAGCAGACGTAAAAGCGGGGATTGGTAAAGCAAGGAAATCTTTCTTACAGTTGACGAACACATGGAATAAGAAAACTGGTAATCAATATTTAAGTGAGAATCTTCAATACGAACGTCAATAAAGTCCTACTGTACTGAGCTGGAACGTGAAGAACTACTACAACCATTATCATAAAAGTACAAGTATTCCTAAACATCAGTATTGGGTAGTGGATATTATTAAGCTTTTTGATTGAGATCATGAACCGATTGATGTTAGACCACGATTAAAAACCTAGAAGCACTTGACGGCCGTTTCGTCTTATAGTGGAACTTCTCGGCAATGCGCATCCACGATCCCGCACTTAGGAGTCGAACCCAGGAAATTAGCAATTAGCGATTTTTAGTGTATGAGCCTAAACATCGTGTCTGACAATTTCTTGATGCTTCCAACAATTAACTATTAATGGACTAAAGATATGATCAAAGGAAACATCAAGTCAGGTGCGATTTATTACAACAAAATTTTAAGACGTAATCCCGACTTGTAGTTGATATTGTTATTCATGACGACTTAACGTTTGAACCATTCAACGCCAAATTTCATTAGGTTTGGAAACGTCGAGATTTATCGAAATTCTTTGATGTGGTGCGTGTGTGAGTCCCACATAAAACTAATTATACATCAAAGATTTCACAAGTAACAACTAATTATTGTTTGACAATAAGTAATATTTTTCTATGCTCTATTGCGAAACATTTATAGTTGTAGTTGGTTCTTAGATTGGAAATGAAAATGGTATCAATTATAATTATGATAAATCTTCTAAGTGAATCATTGTATTGATTTCCTAAGCCCCAGTCTAAATCTATACGACAACCTGAATACGAGAGAAAAGACGCGAAATGTGGAAAGAATGCTTTACTCCAAGGTTGGTTTATGTACAGAAAATCGAGGGCATTTATGAATTTCAGAAGGCCTTGGGCTTCTAGGAGAAGAACTCTACTAAACATAATAACATGATAGGTAATCATCCGATCAGAAATCTGACACAGAACTCTCCACTTTCTAGATGTTTCTGAAAAACATTTGCTCAATGCTGGTTGGATTAATTTTTTTTAGCGTTTTCAGGGCATCTTTGGGCTTTTTCCGAGGGATATTCTAGTTCACCCCAACAAATTACAGTCTAATGGCAGTTCATTTTAATGTAGTGTATTACATACAAAGTGTTTCGTAGATTTCCTTAGAGATTATGTTTGCGTTTATTGTGAAACTAACTATCGGAAAATACAGAAAATCATTTTTGTTTTATACTTCATACCACACTGAGTTCCCTCTAATTTATAACCGATATTTATGTTTGAAGAATAAACGGTATTAGAGTGAACGATCTTCATCAAGATATGAAGAAGTTATTGAGAACGATCGTTCACTGTAATAATCTGTTCTTAAATATTCAATGCTTATTTCTAAATTAATATGTTGAATATGAATGAAATTTTGAAAAATCTGTATATTATTCATCTGCCGTTATACACAACATAGATTTCAGTAGAAGTAAAGATAATAGTAGGCCTAGTAGTGCAGTTGTAATAATCATGTATACTGTATGTATCAGATAAGAATTTGTTAAAAATCATAATCTTCAAGAACAAATATGTTAGTAGTAAATCATGAATTTGTAATGATAGCTAACTGTCTATTCGTTTAAATAATTAATAAAATACTACACGGTCTGATTAATCTTTACTGAATGTTCATTACCCATTAATAAATCATTTATATCCAGATATCACACCTGTGTTTATTACATGCATATTAGAAGGGGTTTCGTAGAGATTGTAGTAATTTCAATAGTTGAAATCACGAGTCAATTGAAGCTAGACTACTACGGAAAACATGTAAGCAATGGACGAACATTTCGTCCTATGATGGAACTCTTCAGCATACATATTGCTTGAAAAAATAACAAACCAAAAACTTATGTGAACCAATTACTAATATATATTTTATTATGTTACATGTAATGATGTAGTTAAGACAATTTCATTAAGAATATTATCATTTCAACTATTGTAAAAATACCCTAACTTCAATTCTTAGAATAAAGTATTCCTGTATAGAATAAAATCTAAAATAAACTATAATTTGACAGATATTTTCAGTTTATTAACAATTGGATCAGGTCAATGATAAAATTGTTAACCATTAATTATAATTTATTTCAATTTAAGAAAGAAAAGAAAAAGAACAATTCATTAAAGTTGTTTAATTATATGAAGTAAAAAACACAATTGCCATCATAATCAATAGTCATCATTCCTGTTCTTCTGATTCAGTAAAGTATCTAAATATAATTAATATGAAATGATATTATTGTACAATTGTAAAATCAATTTTTAAATTTTATATATATTATCAAATGTTTTATTAATAAAATATATGGGGTATTAATATGGAGTGTACTACTGATCTCGACAGATATAAGTAGTATGTATCATCAATCGAAAGTGGAATGTCTGGTGACTGAAGGTTGAGAAGATTGGAGAGAAGAGAACGGGAACACACACAGAGAGATTGGTATGAAAATGAAGTAACAATAAAGTTTAAGACAATTGATGGACATTTTGCAAATAAGTTTGTAAGTAAGCTACAACGTAGGTCTAGGCACATATGTACATCGGTCCAAGTTACCATACCTCATCAGCACAACAAGATAAACAACAAATTCATAGAAGTAGTCACTTCAATAGTGGTAATATATAAAAGAAAGACTGCATATAAGGATATAGTGCAGGAAGAAAGAAAGATATGAAGCGATTTTAATCTCACGATTTAAGGGAAGACAGGGAGTGTAAACACCTACTCCATTGTGATCGATTCTGAGCCATGTGATCCATAGTCTCCAACCATTGGTTACGATATTCACGCGGACCTCAACTAAGTAATGTTCATCTACTAACATGGCGAAGACTAAAATTTAGTGACTTCAAGCACTGATGTCACGTTTTGGTTTGACCGCCCCTAACTTTCTTCCAACCATCCCCCAACACTGGTTAGCATTGCACATCGTAGTAATCGATGTTCAGGCATACGCAACACGTGACCCAACCATCTCAGATTATGAAGATTCACAACTTCATCAACTGATTTACCATCGTCCCCCAATACCCTGCGTCTAACCTCACTATTACATACTCGGTGATCCCAGTAGATGCTGACAATATTTTAAGGCATCTGTTATCAAATACTAGTAGCTTACGAATATCTTCTCCTCTTAATGGCCACTTTTTGCAGCCATAAAGTAGAACAGAGCGGAATGCTGCAACGTATACTCTTCCCTTATTTGAAGTAATGAAGTATTTAGTGTATGGTTCTCAGAGTATTTTGTTCATTAATTTTTTTTGTCTAAAATATTGAAGAATCTCATAGGTATATGAATCTGAATCACTTAACCCTGCAGTGATAAACCTGATTATAAGACTGTCACTAACAATTTCTTTGCATGAGTTTTAACTACAAAAGCCAGTCATCTAAAAACGAAACTTTTGAAAAATCCTCATTTTCTGATATCAAATTAATTATAATATAGTAGTTCATACTACCTATGTCGAAAGACATAAGTAGTATGTAACACCAATCAGAAGTGTAATAAATGGCAACAAAAGGCTAAAATGTCCGAGTTGAAGAAAACAGAAAGGGAAATACATAGCAATATTGAATTGGAAGAACCATATAGAATGTGAAGGACAATCGATGGATAATTTGCAAATGAACTATTTATTATATGCTTCTTATATTTTACCAAGATATTCTGTAATTATGTATTAAACAATAAATTAGATTTCCAAACCTGAGTTCTTGTTCACAATAATATAACTTCCCGATAGGTGTACAACTATTTATCATTTGTCATCTTGTAAGAGAAAAAAATTGATTATTACAACCTTTGACAGAGAGATATCATCTATGACATTCAATAGGATTATATTTTATTATACTACAAATGCTTATTCTGTCAGTTTAGGTTTATATGAATAATAGACTTAGTCAAATTTATAATTCAGAATGAGATATATATTGTCATTTACTGTTTAGCTTGAAATTACATGAAATCATTGGGATTGTTATATTTTAAAAGTTTATCTAACTTTATATTTATAATTTTCATATAACTCTTTAGTAAAGCATATTTGAATATTCTATGGGGATTTTTAAACAACTTTCTAATAGTTAATCAAAAGAATGGAGTGTTTAACTAATCATGATTTTATTACAGTATTTGAATATTTATTAACTTTTCTACGTTACAGATTACATATTATTGGGATTGGATGATTCCACATGGAAAGATTATGATATCAGACTCCAAATGCTCTGGTATGGCTGAGGGTGGGGAGAGTTATCTCTCCTTCTCGAAATGCTCTCACATGGCCACGCATGTACGGCTAATACTAGAGAAGTTCTACGCACTGTCTTCTTGTGTCGAGGGTGTTGTTTAATGAAAATGAGTTGACGGAAAGCGAATGTCTGGCGTTTTAACCGGGTTAGTGGATACGGAAGATCTATCAAGGGGAGTTGGAAACTCTGACTCCAAACAAATAGTGAAAAACGGCTCCAGGATCATGGAGGAACAAATGGCTCATGAACCTATTGTTAGTCATCGGCTATCATGGGACTGTTACTCCTAATGTTGCTCCACTGTTTTGTGGACTAGACCTCTAGGTTTAAGGCTCGGGGTGTGGCCCCCAAAGAAAACCACCTGCTTTGGTTTGAGCACCCGACCAGTATCACAGCACTCGCACAAACCAATGACAACTACTACTGGCCTCATTGTTATTGCGTGACGCATATGTATTTGGTGCCAAATTGTACTAATGTTTATGTGTTCAAATAAAATAAAGTTAAATGATGAAGAAACAACTAATCATGATATATGTTGATTTAAATCTATTTTTATGCAGTAGAAATGTATTTAAATCAACTAATCAAATTGATATGAACGAAATAATTTGATTACCTTTGCTCCGATCTAATGTATGAACTGATTTAATCTGTCTTTCAGACGAATTAGTATTTAAATATCTATATATCAAGTTATATAATATATGATCAAAATTTTTTGTATGTAATTACTTTTCTACTGACTTTAGTATTCTCCACTGAATTAACATCAGCCACTTTTCGAGATAATTACAGGAACTGATGAAGGACAATTTAGCCTAGAATAGTTTTGATCATATAAGAAAGAGATTTTTGATACTTCAAACTAGTCATGTAAATATTAGGAACCAAATAGTCGAGTTTCTATATCATTTTCATTTACTTATCAACTACAATTTATAAGACTCTTTAGATCGTATTCTAGTTTAAAATTAAGATTTGAATGAGAGGAATAATTCTAACAAATCTATATAATGTAATGATAATTAAATTTTCATACTTACTCAGTTAATCGACGTGTACCTTTCTTATTTTTCAATTCTTCTGGTGTTGGTAATCCAAAATCTATTTCAGTTTTACTTTCACCATCGTTAAATTTTAAAACATGTTTAGAATTCAACGAAAATTTCACTCCACCAACTTCAATAACCATATCACCTGAATAATAGAAAAAATTAATTAAATAAGGATACAAGTAAAATATATCAACGGCCTTAAGCTAACGAATCAGAAGTAAAATAACACCTCAGTTATTTTGAACAAAGTTGAATCAATGGTGATAGACAACGTGTATGTTAATATTAATCAAATGAAAATTGGTAATATTTGGTTCTTAAAATGTTTGAACTCAATGAAAATATCTATTATACAACAATAAATTAAATTTTAGGTTATACTTAAGCTAAATTACATAATATACCTACTTCTAAGGTAGATTATGTGACTAAGTACTTCATGTTATTCATTGGAAATTCATGAGGGTTTAACAAAGCTAGATGATGTTTTTGCTTTCTTACTTTCATTTTAAATCTCGACCCTAAGTTTCTCAAGTTTGTAAACACAAAGGTGACAAAGCATTGAATTGTAGCTGAGGTCAATTTGTGTTGAAAACCCTGAGTCATAATTTGTAAACTCAACTCAGTTTAAATCTCAATACCAAATCCTAACTAATTTGTATTGTTACTGATCGGATGATAAGCCTAAGTCGTAATATTAGCCCATCTCTTAGTGCGCATGTATGTATGTATGTATATATGTAAACGTGCTCTTTATTATTTACTAGAAAAGATAATTTGACTTGATCGCAGCTGTTATTCTTCTGTTATTTCATTACTATATATTGTTAACTGTTTTATAACTAGGCACCGTTTCCTGATTGGCTGAAAAGTCACTCAAGGTCGTCAGTATATTATACTGTTACTTAAATATCTTTTAGATAAACAAATAATTTTATTTATTTTTAATGCTATAAATGAATGAAATTAGTTTTCTTGCCAACGTATAACTCAAATTTACCTATTTTTTCGTTATCAAAGAATAGTAATTCATATTAAACATCCATATAAATTTTAGTGATTCACTTAATAAACGGCCGTCCAGTGCTTCCAGGCTTACCATGGTGGTTAAGCTTCAGTTGACTCATGATCTCAACCACTGAAATTAATAAGTAAATACTGATTGTTCTATTTAAGGTCACTGGTCAAAAGTGTTTCATCGAAATCTGTATCACTCAAACCTAAACAACAATGATCTCAGTGAAATTTATTACATGAATTCCAAGTTAAAATGTAGGTAGGTACAAATCAATTACTGGATACTGAGCAACAGTTAATGTATAGTTAATCGTATGAGGTGTGTATTTGAAGTAAATTTAGATATCTGGTGTTATTATTACTATTATTATTAGTGGTAGTAGTAACAAGAATAATTGCATTACGAATGATATCTCGTTTCATTTATATATCTTACAGAAAAATACAATCTACCTTTTCCGTTTATAACAAATGGTACATCTATGGTTTCGCTCTTCCTTTTAGCAAATATATTTGGGAAAAGTACACAAATGGTGACGAAACTAATCACTAGAAGGTAATGCATTTGTATATATTTACAGCTAAAACAAAAGAAATTAATATGCATTGAATCATTTGATTCTAATGAAATATAATTCTTTTTGTAGTTAACATCACTGACCAACTTTAGTTGGACATCCACTGAATACCAGGAAACACTGGACATCTGTTTCGTCCAAGTACGGGACTCGTTATCACTGGACGCCCATGACACCACCAGAGATCGAACAAAGGTATTACGTGTGTATCGATGAGCTCTTAATCTTAAAATAACTGAGTTACTACCATATGGTTTACATTTTTGACTTCAGTTAGTTTGAGGTATTAGGCATCCCTTTTTTAATGTGATTAATGTCTAACATCATCACACCCGATATTGTGAAACTCTGCTCGGTAAATTCTCTCCCGAAATTAATAACTAGTATAACGTTCAAGTTGTCTAATTAGTCATTCCGTGATGTTAGCTATGAAATTCAAATGTCAGTCAGTCAGTCAGCTAAAACGTAGGATCAGGCACATATATGCATCGGTCCAAGTTACTATACCTCATTAACACAACAAGATGAACAACAAATTCATAGAAGTAGTCACTTCAATAGTGGTAATATATAAAAGAAAGACTGCATATAAGGATATAGTGCAGGAAGAAAGAATTAGTTGGTAGAAAGAAAGATATGAAGCGATTTTAATCTCACGATTTAAGGGAAGACAGGGAGTGTAAACACCTACGCCATTGTGATCGATTCTGAGCCATGTGATCCATAGTCTCCAACCATTGGTTACGATAGTCACGCGGACCCCAACCAAGTAGTGTTCATCTACCAACATGGCTAAGACTAGAAGCAATTCTATGATTAAGAATACTAATGAGAACTTTAGATTATTATAAATGAACCAAGGTATAATTTACTATCCTATAAATTAAGCAGTTATGAACTATGCCAATTATTATCTTCATTATATAAATTAATTAGTCAGAATATCATAATCTATTTCGATTCCCTTCATATACTAATTGTGAAATAGAGAATATAATGTTTTAGAATATACAAAAATTTTACTACTTACATAATCTTTGATGGGTCGAGGATAAATAGATCTTCATTTATATACATATATATTTCGAATAATTTTAAATCAATTCGCTTATGACATATAGGATTTTCCAAAATTCATACCAACTCCTTTCATATGTCTATAGATTATATGGTTAGTTCAATAAATCATGAAAATCGCCTTAATATATTCAATTAATTATTTTAGTTATTCTATCACTCATATATAAATATAGGTAAATCATTGAGGTGTAATGATTTAAATTTTTACGTTTGTTGATATTTGTAATTGAATTTTGACTAGTCGTAGTTGGCATACTTATATCCTGTGCGGAGTTTCTCAGTAATAATAATAATAATAATAATAATAATTCAAACCAGTACAAATTGAATAAAAACTCATACTCGTTACATAGGCTAATGATTGTCTAAAATGAATGTCTCCATGAATAACACAATGGCTGTTTGAAGCAAAAGATATTGTGTTTGAGTTCAAATGTAAACATAAACATTGTGATGCACGTAAATCTGGGCTGATAAATCCCATACTAGATTAAATATGTGTCGTTGATTCTACTGCTAGCTATATTCCATTTGTTCTGACAATAATTAACATATGCTCACTAGTGACTGGCTATAAGAGGTATATCCTGGAGTTCTAGTGAGAAGTAGTGACCAGTGGAGTTCAACCAGGTCTGTTGTGGGATAGTAACTAACTGAAAACAATGGTGGATGTGTCACTCAATTTCGTTGATCAGTTCAAGTTAGACTTTAACACCGTGGGACGGTGGCTCAGTGGTTTAATGGTTAAGTGCTCGCGCGCGTAACCACTCGGTCCTGGGTTCGAGTCTAGCAGGGGGCAGGGTCGCGGACGCGCACTGCTGAGGAGTCCCACAATACGACGAAATGGTCGTCCAGTGCTTCCAGGCTTTCCATGGTGGTCTAGCTTCAAGTGACTCGTGATGTTAATCATTGAAAAATTGATGATGTTTGTTTATTATAAAATGTAAATTGTATTTCATGCAGTTATTTCTGCATTTCAATTTCGTTAGTATCAACCAATGTATCAATAGTGGGTATTTAGCTAGTTCAATAAACATAAATTTCATCTTCAACACATAACCATGAAAACTCATTGCTATTGGTGTAACGTTGAAATCATTTTCTAAAACAAATAAAAAATGAACTCCAGGGAATAGAACATGTTCTATGCATGATTTTGTAAATATATTAAAACGTTTTCACTAGTTTAATACTTAGCTAAAATTGAACTAATAATTGTTCCAAAACAGATCTATTCTATCTGTCAATTAGAAAATGAAGTCACAGATGAAATATTAAATAACGTAAGATGAAATTGGAGGAGAATGAAATATTCATTAAACAAATGATTGATAGTTAAATGAAATATTTAAATTTCTTAAAGTTTGAAGTAATCTGCTATTGAGAAATTCACATAATTCACTTTCATATGATGGGTAATTTGATAGTTTTCAAATTGAAAGTAAAGCATTTGGTTTCAGTCTAACTGGACAATCACACCGTTATTTAAAGTTACATATTTTTAGTAATATAATGTCTAAAATCACGTATATATGAAAGAATAAATGAAATAAAACTGTGGAAATATCTAATAAAACTTAACTATCTTTTAGTCAGTTTTGATACACTATCTGTTCTTGCTTTCAAATACCATTGGTATACATTTCGCGATATTCAAGTACATGGTTTGGTTTCAACGATTTAGATTCTTCCTTTGGACTGCGTAATATTCAATGAAATCTTTATCCATCCAAAGTAATTGAAAGGAAAATAATTGTGAATCACATAAAGCGTAATGTTATTAATCAGTCCTTTCTACCATATGGTTCAGGTCCTCTGTTTTTATTCTCAATCCAAATAATTGATTATTGTTAAAATGTGTTATAACTAACTCATTTACGAAGTACATGTTGGTGTACTGAGCTTCTAGTCGAACTGTTTTTATGAGGATACTAGTGTTAATCAGATACTCAACTGAAAATCATCCACATCGTTATAGGCAGAATAATATCCAAAGTGAATCATTTAAGCAATTCAATATGAATTTAATTGAAATATGGTCTATAAATCTAAGATTTGAATATAGATGTCGAGTGCAAAACAAGTATTAACGAAATGTAGGTTAAGTTCTGTATTTCAAAAATACCGCTAAAATAAAAAGGGGTTCAAAGAATAGCACATGCAAGTGAGAAAAGGCGATCAAAGCATTCGAACAATCTAAAACATCAAAATAAGTGTATTGATAGACGTGATAATTGTCTAGTTGTGACAAAGAAAGATCATATGAAGCAACTTAAAGCCCATAAAAATGTTTCAATTGAACTCAAATTACTGAATATTAATAAATAGCATAATGTAGCACACGAAAAGAACCAAACGAGTTGAAAAAATTTATCATGTGAAAAACATATTTATTACCAGAATGTTAGAATGATTATTTCGGAATTGTAATCACTATAATAGTTTATGAGTATTATTTTGAA